ACCCTGGACAAGGAGAATAGTTCATTTGCGGAACAAGAAATCTAGAAAAAAGCGAAGGTGAGCTGTGAATGCACGTGGGTTTGCCACCTTGTTTGTTTGATTAATCAAAATAATTAGCCAACCACAGTAAGAGACTGTGGGGATAATGGGCTGTAACAAACATGGAATTTATTGAGAGTTTGGTAATCTGCTTCGAAAATTGGAGTCTGACCCGTGAAATAAGTTGACTTCATTTCATCCATTCCTTTTATAATAATGCTACTTAGCTATTAGGGTTGCAACCACAATTTACGTGGCGGTAGATGATATGATAAATTAATTATAAAATTAAATAAATCTTTTAATTTTACTTATTATTTAATATCATATTAACGTCGCTTAAATTGGGATTACAGCTCCAGTAAAACTAAATAGCATTACTCTTCCTTTTAACATAATTAATTATTATATAAGTTATACTCACTCCGTCTCAATTATATATGTTTGTTTTATTTTTTACACGGATTAAAAAAATTTCTTTAATGTCATTGGAAAATTAATTTTTTGCCAAAATCGTTCCTAATTTACTCCTATTTAATTTTCAGTATGTAAAATTAAATTATTGTTGGAATTAATAAAGAATTTAAAGAAAAAAAGAAATGAGAGTTGTTCCATGTTTTCAAAAAGTGAGAAATATGTGTATTTGGATGATTTTAAGAAATTAACATAATAAGTAAGGAAAATTTAATAAAGATATATTAGTAAATGAACACAACAAAATATTTTATATTAGGAAATATGCCTATATATTTGGGACAAGAGAAAAAAGAAACTCAGCCAATATAATTGGAACGGAGGGAGTATTATTTAATATTATCGGTGTTTAATACCAATTTAGATGATAGTACTAGTGACATCAAATTACACTTTTAATTTAATGAATCACATAATATCACTTTTAATCGAATTTATTACACAATGTCATATAGACGGGTGCTTTAACATCATTAGTACTAGATAATATTATTCTTGTTATAAATGTGAGTAAACCTTAATCCATTATGAGATACTTCGTTGGTTATGCATAATTCCTTATTTAATTGTTAATTAATTTGATAACTATCAACTTAAGCTCTAAATAAACTAATTAACACGCAGAAATCCCAATTCAGTGTAGACAAAAAGTCTTAGGAAAAGCTGTAAACTACACAGTACACATACATGTAGTTTGACCAGTCCTTCTGTGAAAGAGTGCATAATAACGTTCCCACCACGCCATCTTTGTCGTATTAATGTGGCCATTGAATGAGGAAAGAATAATGCTATGCAGCGTTGGTAGTATTAGAGCACACATAGACCGATGTAGAGGTGGTATGGGTCAAACCGAGCCGGCTCGGCTCGTGACGAGCACGAGCTCGTGGCTCGTAGCTCGGCCCGCGAGCTCGTCAGTTTTTTTTTTCTAAAGATAAACCTTTTTTTTTAAAAAAAGGACATACCGTCCATCTTGGACGAGCCCACGAGCCGCCCGCTCGGCTCCCGCTCGGGCTCTGGCTCGTCCTTTAACGAGTCCAAGCCGCCCATGAGCCGAGCGGTCGCTTGATCCGTTTGCCACCACTAGATCGATATCACTAATGATACCAAATAGCACTACTCATAAGAAAAACCAAGACCTTGGGCAAGTTACTTGGCTAATTTTTTTTGTCTTCAGTTTCAATTCGGTTCGCGTCACTTTTTTCCAGCAAACTCACTATGGTTTATCTTGTTCCGATGAGCTATAGAAGTTCCAGATTCTACTTATTTTCGTAGTATGGCAGAATTACATAAAACAGGTCCCGTCCCTGCAAAATTTAATTTTTTTAAAAAAATTATACATAATTTATGTATATTTTGTCTCTTCAAAATTTGTTCGCCCACCCAACATAAATGTTTTGGCTTCCTTTTAACGAAAAAAAAATAAAAAGCCAATTATATAAACATGTTTGTTCAACTAATAGTATTTCTTATGTGACTTCCAGTGTACAACAATGCAAGGTAGAGGAAGGAGGTGCCGATCGAGTGCCCTCCAATGTTGAAGTTAAGGTGCTAAGTGAATGTATTAACGCGTTGTAAGTTGTTAAAGAGTTTTGTGAAGAGAAAATGATCTGAGATCATATTTTTTAAGTTTTAATTTTATTAATGAAATATTAATTATTATTATTTTTCAAAAATCAATTGTCGCACCGATGTAAATGCTTTGGTCACAATCACATGAGAGCGCTCATATGTCACATTTGTATAACAAAGCATGTCATAGACACAAATTCATAGATCATATACTGATAAATTTTTAGATATAAAGGTAACAGTAGAACAAATGAAGTCATAATCCACATTAAAAAACTAATAAGTGACAATCAGATATCATAATAAGCCCCTGTTTGTCTACCATTAATCTAAAACATTGTTTGCTACAGTAAAATTCTCCACCACACATTCACTCAATAAAATATTCTACACATAAACCAATAAAGTTATTTTAAATTTTAACCACACATTCTCCAAAAAATACTATTCATTACACAATTTTCAACCCAATAATGGTAGACAAATAGGCTCTAAATTACAATCACAAAATTTGCTTGGAACAAGTCATAGTCACACAGCACCTAATTTTGATTATTTTTTTAATAAATTTGGTTAATTGAAATTGTATTCTTAAACTATTATGGTTATGAAATTTTCCCTTTTAATGGCTATGAAAAAATTTCCATGGTCATTTATACAATTAAGCCCAATAATGTAATGTGTGAAGCCCAACATAAGTGCCATTTCAAGTTCAGTTGTAAAAGCTTTGTAGCCCAATTACAAGTTTAAAGTTTAAAAGACTTGGGAGTTTTTTTAGTCCCCAGATCACTGGAAAATTGTTCTTCCACAAACCCAAAATCAAGGACAAAAATTGTGATGGGATAATTACATAAAACCAGCTGTTTACTTTTAAATATATGAAAATCAGGTTTAAGCTTTTTTTAATCAAAAAATAGGTTTCATCATTTTTAATTAATAATGATATTATAAAATTAAAATAACATGTATACTCACCCTACTACCTACTCCCACCAAATTTATTTTAACTATAAAATCCTAAATCTACCCAAAACTCTAACTTAATCCATTTCATTTTCATTTCTCTCCTTTCACATTTCTCCCACCACGTCGTCACCGCCATCACCTCTCCACCACGCCACCATCGCCGCCCTCTTTCTCCTCACCCTCCCTCTCTCTGCTGCGATTACAGCAACGTCGCTGTGACGATACTGCAATCGTAACCTTCCCCCTCCCTCTCCATCCCTATGTGCCTTAATGCAGTGATATGCAAAATACATTGTTCTTTTCCTTTACTCTTTCTTATAATTTCTGTTATGCGTAGACTCTGACGAACAGCTGGTACTGGTAGTCTGTTATGCGACGCTCCTGGGGTGTATGGTTGTGGCGGATTGGCTGTTGTTGTTTGCTGTGGGTGGCGGATTGGTTGTTGGCTGTTGTTGGTGGCGGATCTATTGTTGGTGGTTGGCTGTTGCGGGCGGCGGATCTGTTGTTGTTGGGGGGGCTGTTGCGGGCGGATTTGTTTGTGTGTCATGTAGGTGGCGAAGGTCAGCTGATTGGGTTCAGTTTTTGATCTTGTCGTGTGTTCTGTGGCTGGTTAGCTTGTGTTCTTGTGGTGGCGATAAAATGACCGTTC